AGCAACCGGCCACTCACTGCCTTTCTCACAGGCACTGATCCCGGCACTGCAAGCGATGGTGTCTAAGCCAACCCTGGCTGCCGACATCTGCGCAAACAATCGCAGAGCCGTCTGCCAGTTACCGGCTTTCTCACAAGCACTAATCACTGCACTGAAACTGATAGTGCTTGGAGCAACGTCCACGGCAGGCATTTGCGACAGCAGCTGCATGGCCATCTGCCATTCGCCACACTTCTCACACGCACTGATCGCAGCATTGAAACTGATCGTGCCGGGTGAGATCTGGATTGACAGCATCTCGCACAGTAGGAACGAAGCCATCTGCCATCTACCAGCTTTCTCGCATGCACTCATGCCAGCATTGTAGCTGATCTTGTCAGGCATGGCTTTGACCAATGGCATTCGCGACAAAAAATATACGGCCCTACGCCATTCAGCACCTTTCGCGCATGCGCTCATGATGGCATTGAAAGTAATCGTATCCGGCAGTACTTGAGAGATCAATGATTCGGATAGCAAAGCGATGGCCGACTGCCATTCACCACTTTTCTCGCATGTGCTGATGCTCGCATTGAAGCTGATCGTGTTGGGCAAAACTTTGGCACGTAGCATCTCTGACATCAGTTGGAGGGCCATCTGCCATTCACTTTCCTTCTCGAATGCACTCATGCCCGCATTGAAACTGACCGTGTCCGGAGCGACTGCCATAGCCGGCATACGTGAGACCAAGTGCAGGGCCATCTGCCAGTTGCCTCCCTTTTCACATGCGCTGATGCACGCGTTAACGCTGATCGTGCTAGGTTGGAGTTCGGCAACTCTGATTTGTGAGAACAAGCACAGGGCCGTCTGCCACTGGCCACACTTCTCGCATGCGCTCATTCCAGCATTGTAGCTGATGGTGTCTGGCTCCACCTCAGCCGTGTGCATTTGTTCAAGACAGGATGTGGCCATCTGCCACACACTACCCTTCTCGCACGCGCTGATGCAAGCACTGAAACTGAGCACATTCGGTGAAACATGAGTTGCGGACATGCTGGTCAAAAGCACAAGGGCCATTTCCCACTGCCCTGTCTTCTCACAAGCGCTGATGGCAGCATTCCAGCTGAACTCATTCGGAGCTGTATACATCAAGCTCATTTGTAGAAGCAGCTCCAGTGCCAGTTGCCACATTAGGCCCCCTTTGCAAGCAGCAATGGCAGCACTGAAGCTGTAGACATCCGGCACGATCCTTGCTTCGATGATGTCTGCCAACACCTCCAGTGCCGGCTGCCATTGCGAAGAGCTTGCGCAACTGATGATGGCTTTGGAGTGCATTTTCTGGTCAGCCGATGTCGGCAACGTGTCCCGCAGCATATGGATCGCCAGCTGCCAATCCCGATTCTGCTTCTTCCTAAGCGTCCCACAGGCTGCGCCAGGAGCGGCATGCGTAGATCCTCCGGCGAGATCCAGCATTGCAGCAGCATGGCACATGGTTGACTGCGGATGTTTGCAGAAGACTCAACCATGAACAACCTAGACGGCTAATTGTGCTGTCTCTGCTTGAATGCTGCTCATTTTCTCAAGCTTGAGAAAGGCCAGCCGCTGAGCCAGCTCCACGATTCGAATCCCACCGGTGTAGTCGCAAGTTACAGAGCTTCCGCTCAGCACCCGCTGGACCCTTCAGCAAAGGCACTGCCAAATTCGCCTCCCATGATCCGGCAAGCTCGACCTGTAATCACAAAACTTACACCCAAAACCCCTAAACCCTTAAACCCCTTAACCCCTAAACCCCTAAACCCTAAACCCCCTTAATTTCGGAGCCTTCGGACTGGTGATTTTCTCCTTTTGCTCGCAGTTCTAAGCCAGGTTCGGAGGGGCTGTGGCAAGATGGATTTGTTCAGCCCTCATAAAGCCACACAAGAGGGTTTCCTTCCCTCCCACATAGCAAGGACGAACCCTGCAAAGGATTTAGGGTTTAGGGTTTTAGGGTTTTAGGGTTTAGGTTTTTCTGTGTCGTAGCATCTACGAGCATAGAAACAGCAACAGCGTGCTTAATGAAGGAAGCCCAATGTGTATCACCCTAGACATGACAATACTTGCGATACGAAGGCTGCTGATAAGGCTACAGGAGGCAGAACACCACTGCACGCAAAGGGGCAGAATCATAACTTAGTGACTCGCCCCCACAAATCTGGACTACATCACGTGAGCCTTCGAATAAAGTCATGGCAAGCCACTGCTACAGCAAAAACAACAACTACTACTCCTCCTACTACTACTACTACTACTACTACTCCTACTACTACTACTACTACTACCACCACCACCACCACAACCACCGCCACCACCACCACCACCATCATCACCACCACTCCAGCAGCTGCTGCAGCTCACTGGTGCTGACCAACATATATGGTTTCTATAGTAGCATCATCCACTACTGAAGATAATGAGCACGAGCAGTTCTTAGACTAATACTAGTGGGCAGGAATGCCAATGCAACAGCTAAAATGCCAACAGCACAAAACGAAAAAAGCCGGTGCCAATCTAAACAGATTTTCCAAGGGCAGCGTGGCAGGCGCAACAAGAACTACTAACATCTAGCGGCAGTTCGAAGAACAACATAAGCATGTGCTAAACACGACGAAAGAAAGGGGACAACAAACTAATCTTCATCACAGCTCTCAGGAGTAGAATGATGCAAGAAACACTCTAAGCGGGTCTACTATTGAATGACAATGCCGTACTCTGCAGCCCTGTTCAGCCCCGGGGTTCAGGGTTCTGGCCGACTTCCATCCGCTTTTGTCTGTGTCTCAGGCGCCGTCGAAGCACCTGATGCGCTCATGGCACTTGATGACAGATGTTGCGGACACTGGTATTGAAGATCGGGCTGATGCAAGTGAGAACACGCAAATGTCTGGAAATGCTCCCATTTAAAGTCGTATATTTTGAATAATTAGAATCACTCCATAGTGCCTGGACCCGCATTCAAACAATCGCAAGGACGCCCGCAGACTTACGCAACACGCACGTCGCAATTGTCGCCGAAGCAGCCTTGCAGGCTGTCGAAATGCACGTGGAAAGCGAGGCCTCCCGACCGGCATCAGGGGCTCAACGAAAGTAGTGCCCCTCAAGGGCATCGTTACTTCAGAGCATGAAAAGCCGAGTGTCTGAGTCTGGAGACTGAAGAATCGGTCCGAAGAAGCTTCCCTTTCAATGGGCCTTCCTAGTGGCTGGCAGCTTTCCGTTGCAGAGTTTTTGGCTCTTGAGCCCCAGTACAGGGGCCTTCATAGCCAGAATAAGGGTTTCAGGGTTTACGCTCTTAAAACTCGGACAAGCCAGGCGAGGTTCATGGTTCGAGGTCGGCGTGTTTCAGGGTTTAGGGTTTTGGGCTTCAGGGCGCGTTAGACTATTATAGACGACAGTTATTGGAAAGACTGCGCTACTTGTATGAAGGCCCTAACTCTTGGAAGATCAAGCTCTGCCAAGGGCGGCACGTCGTTGGGCGAAAGGCCAGCTCATCTCCCGGCAAGGCCATGAGGGCTATGCGGGGCACCACGTACTCCAAACAATGAGGAGACCCAGCAAGCAGGGCTATAATGCTATAGGTATAGGTATAAGTATACTGCCTGCAGCGATACGGAGATATGGAGTCGTTTCTATGAGCACTTGACTTGATACGACACCCAAGCGTGCGGCGTGCATGCTTTCATTCAGTCTGCGAAAGCATTACATTTATTGTGCTCTGGCGGTGCTGATGGCTCTCCAGCAAAAGTCCGATGCAAGTCGGGATAGCGTGGAGCTCACTCGACTTTCCCGGTTCACTAGCTGCATGATTGCATGGCAACTCTGCAATAAAGAAGGCTATTGTGGCACTTTCTAGCTACCGAAACATCATAAGAGCAAATGACCCCTTCACTTCAACACTCCTTTTCCTGGCCGCAGCAGATGAAATCAATGTCCGGAGGTTCTGCCCTCGACCTTCTAGAAAGGATGGCCCTGCCCGCACATTTCGTCGGGATAATCTGCAGCGAAAAACTGTGCCAGCGAGATCACTGCGCGATTGAGACGTCAGTGTAGCTGCGATGCAGGTCACGCTCCCCTAAAGGCAGTAAGCGCATGGGCACCCAAGCGCCCTCGCAGCTCTCTGAGGCACCCTCCGTCTCTTGGGCTGCAGAGCCGCAGGACCGGTGCTCTCCGGCACGGACACACTTTGGCTCAAGCTATGGCTATAAATCAAGTTTGATTTTTCAAGTCAGGGTCCCGGGGGGCGGTGTCATGATGAATGAGCCATCTAATGCGCCTATCAAGATTGGACAAGACAGATATGGAGAAGACTGACAGACACCCAAGTGCCAGTCCCGTTCCCCGGACCCTCCGCCGACTCTGCACTCGGTGGCTGGGCTGACAGAGTCTGCAACTGCAGCAGACCCTCGCTCTCCGGCGCGGGCCGCGAACTATCTGCACATCGATTCTTTCAAGTTTGAAGAGGCCGACAGGAAGTGAAGGTCCGGCAAGGTAGTGACCCCTTGATTCCCGATCAAAGTACTTTTCAATGCTTTCTAGGACTGTTGCCAAAGCTTTGTCACCCAAGTGCCCGTCCCCTTCCCCAGACCTTCCGCAGACTCTACAATGCCCGTGGCTGGGCCGGCAGATTCTGCAAGTCTGCAACTGCAGCAGAATGCAGCAGACCCTTGCACTCCGGCGTGGTGTCCACAACATCTCCACTCACCGTTTATAAAATCACAACTGATTCGACGTAAAGGTCCGAGGACAGAGTGGCTGCTTGATCCCCTCTCCCTTGAGATTCGGGACTCTCAAGACCCAAGACTTCCCTCAAGTGATAATGGGCACCCAAGCGCCCGTACAGCTCTCGCCGTTCCTCGGACCCTTGTTACGGCTCAGCGGTGCCCTCCGCCGGGCTCGCAGATTTCTACAAAACTCCTTAACAGCCTATATTGGCGAATTAAAGGCTCTCCGGCCGATGATTTTTAAGCAAGCTGCTCCTCCAGTCGGGCGTTTCAGAGCAAGCTGATGCTCCGCAGCGAGGGCTCCCAGGTCTCGCCCTGCTGCAGCGAAGGCCACTGAGCCTCGGCATCCTGCGACAAAGCTTGCAACCAAGCGGCTTTCTTGGGGGGTTTTAGGGGCTAGGAAGATTGTATAATATACCATATACTACATATACACATAAATATAAATATAAATATAAATAAAAATAAAAATAAATAAATAAATAAATAAATATATAAATAAATAAATATATATATATAATATTTTGCATATGTATGTTTGTATATGTATGTACAGTATGTATGTATGTATGCATGCATGCACTCACTTCGATCACAGCTGTTTACTTGACCCAAGCGCGCTGCGTCATATGCGGTTGGTCTGCCTATGAGAACATGGAGTGCTGTACAAGTCTGCTTCTGAAAGTTCACTCCGCTCTTGTTAAAAAAACTAGCCAATGCAGTCCGTGCATGGACGCATTGCTCGAACACGCACGTTCCGAATGTGCGTACAGCTACGGTCGCGGTGAATATATATGTATGTATGTATGTATGTATGTATGTAATGTACGTATGTATGTATGTATGTATGTATGTATATATATATATATATGTATATTTATGTGTGTGCCTTCATGCAAGGGTATACACGGTTACACGGGTTTACAGTCGTTTAAGCACACTGCTAGAGGAACCCCTTGCCACCTCTTTTGATGGGACTTACGCCGGAATCCTGGAAGAGGCGCAACGCCAACGCTTCCGGGCCGTCTGCACGGGCGAGTGGATATCCGAGGAAAGTATATTGCAGCATGAGGGCTTCTGAAGAGGCTGGTGCAGAGCTAAAATTTAACGTGTCCGTTTACTTCCGATGTCCTTTGGTGGTGTCTTCGGGGTCTATGATCCACAGCTACGCCGCTACGGCTTAAAGTAAATTTGTGGCGGTTGCAGGCTGCTGCGCAAGTATACCAAAATACCAGCACACTTGGAAACGACACAACAAAAACAGAAACAACAACGTCCGACAAGCAACGAGAAATAGGCTGAACTACAGCAGGCCAAGAAGAACAACTCCGTTGTAGAGGCGTCGAGCTCGCTTCGACCCACGCGAACTGCGCCTGGCTTCAGCGCCTGCGCAGCCGCCATTACGCAGGGCGCTAGCAGGGCAGCGCGTGCCGTCAGCACTCGGCCTCTGCCACTGCGGAAACATGCGGACACACGACGGACCTGGGCCTCGCCTGTCGAGAAGGCGAAGGCAGCGATTGCCAGACCTGGGCACAATCGTGTCCGCGGCCGAAGCTTCAACAGCTGGTGCCTCTCCCAACCGAGTTATGTCTACTCTCAGGCGCTTCGGTGCTGATCCTGCTGAACGGCTCTCTCTCGTACCTTGCTGGCTGATGAAACGAAAGCCGGGGAGCAGAAGAAGCAGAAGCTCTGCAAGTCGTTGACCTGCACAGGACGGGAAGCGAGATGTTAACTCTTCACCAGCACGGAGGGGTGGATGTATGTGGGCCCGCGAGCGGAACCGAAGTCGCCAGAATCCTTCGAAACTTAAGCTGTTGCCCTGTTGAAAGAAACATGACCCGGCTGCAGATCAGCTCCAGATGTCCGAGCAGAAGGCAGAACATCAAGCGTCCGATCCCTCCTCTTGCAGACGCCCCTGCTACACCGTACACGCCACACAGCTTATCAAACACAAGCTGTCCCGCCTGGTGCTGCCGAAAGGGTCGGATGGCGGCGATGGCGAGCGAGGTGCACAAGGTGAAGCCCAAGGTGAACTCCAGGCCATTCTCGCTCCGGAGGGCCTCGCACACAAGAGCCCAAGGAGGGAAAGAAACACATCCTCGAGGTTTCACTGTGGGTTCTTGGGGGGTCCTCGCGCGAAAGCCTTGGAGGGTCTTCGGACCAATTTCCGCCAAGGCGCGGCCACCAAAGCAACGGCCACGATCCTCATGGCCTCAATCCAGCTCAGGGCAGGTCCGACTGGGCTGTTGCGCGACTGCAACGCCTATAAAGTTAAAGTTAAAGCAAAATCAAACTCTTAGGAAGGCTTTCCTGGCTCCCGAAGCAAAGTACGACGCAGATACAGGCGATTACAGGCGGCCTGCTATCACAAATCACGACTATTGATGTGCAGTTGACGCGGAGGAACGCTTGCAAGCTGTCTAATTCTACAGGTATGTCTACGTCTCTTGATTAATTAATGGCAAGTCAAGAAGCGAAAGGATTCCCTAGAATTGTTCAACAACCAAGATATCGAATCGAGCGGCGATCTCGAACCACACGTTTTGGCACGCTGCCTCGGCAG